GCCTTTCGCCCTCAGCTAGTCGGACTCTAAACTTCGGGCCACATATGCCCACCTCTGCAAGGCACTAAAAACATAATCATGACAGGAAACATCTTTCTTGTATCCTATATGGTGAGAAAAGTATCTTACTTAATATGCAAAATAAAACACCATTCCAGTGTTCCTTGGCTCAGAAGTCTGAATTTTTGGATTGTTTCAATGCAGAGTAATTTTGTGCTGCCTTCCTGGCCATAACAAGTTTATGCCCAGCTCACTTGGTGCTCACATAAAGAAATTAAATTCTCTCTGCGTGCAAATATATATGTTGACCGTATCCTGAATTGTTTTCTTCTCTGAGGGGCCTTCTAGGGAGGAAACAAGACCAGAATCACAGTGACTGTTCTCTCACATGCCAAAAATTCAGCTGCAAGCTTTCTACTGCACTTTTGCCCTGGGAAATGTGTCGTAAGGTGCAGATTCTTTGGGGCAGCTCACAGAATATTTGTTTTGTCATACCAGGATCTACTTCTACATGCTTTGGAAAGGTTGTAATTAAGTGTGCACTCTTTTCTCCTCCTTTACTTCAATTAAAGTAGGACTATACACATCTTTCTGAGTATGAATGTTACAATATTTTGTAATTCATCTCAGGATCCTAATTTTACATCTCATCTATGAAAAGGTCATAGTAAATATTTTATTCCTAGGCTTGTGAATTGGTAACAGCAACCATAACAACCACAAATATCTCCTGGCATTTGTTTATCTGGTTTTCCAGAAAAATTCCAATGAGTATTTCTTCCAAGAACTTATGCACATGCTTTTATTGTTTTTCTTATTTGCATTTCTCACAGCATAAAGAGATACAATTCATGATGACTTGCTTCTGTGTTTGCAAGATTTGGGCTGAGCTCTGAGCCTGGAGCTGTTGGCTGCTGAGGATGGCAGCTGAGGAACAGCCTCTGCTACATAGCAGGATTTACTCCTCTTGGGTCCCATATACCTTCTACTTTCCACATCTGTTCTTTTTGTTCTTGTTGAAGTTAAAGTAATGCTTTTTGGTATCCATTGAAGACCTTGGGCATTTTTAATGACAGAGCTCTTAAGGAGAGATTAGACTGACTTCATTCACTCTCCACTAGTCATCCTTGAAATAAAACCTACCAAAATAAACTTTTACTGTTTAAACTAGGGTAAGACTAACATAGAATTTTCTTTATGTGTTCAGATACTAAAGGAAACAAAACCTTCCTAATGTGCCAAGCAGCAAAATGAGCTCAATGAGCTCATACTTCTGTGGCATTTCTGCCACCACATCAGGAAATAGTTGCTATGGAGCGAAGGTTGCTGCTAAGGTGACTGAAAGGTAATGTTTCTTTCTTCGTTCCTTTATTTTCTTGAAAGACCTTACGTTTTGCACTTGTTGATATGGTAACATTTTGCTTTTCTTAGGGAACAACAAGTATCCCAAAACATGCATTGGACTTGATTCAATGAGAATATCAACCAGCAAGAACTACAGTATTGAAAACCTATGCAAAAAATTCTCATTCATTTGGAATTTCTACTTAAATTATGGATTGTCCTTTCCTCAGTATTTCCTCCTAATTCTGCTACACTTTCTGCTCTGTTTGACATCCTAATTGCCTAAAGATAAAAGTCTTCTTCCTCTCATTTGTTGATATTTCCTTTCAGGATTATTAAGTATAATTGCTTATATCCACCTCTGGTTGACTGATGTTCAGACAGTTTCTGATGCAGTGAAACAATGAGCTATTTTTTTTTGCTGTAGGTGTATTGTCTGAGATATAATAACTGTGGTACAGATCTGTTGCATGCAATGAAGATGACTTCACTGTTTGCTGTTGTACACAGAGCATTGCAGTGAAATATGCACAACTTGTTACTACTTGGAATTCTGACTTATTATTCTGGTTTGTTTTCCTGTTCTGTCAACCTTTCTGTTGCAAAGAGATAAGTCTTAGTAGGCTTTTAATTTAATGTATGTGCATTTTTTATATTAATAATAATTAATATTTAAATGTGCCTTAGTACATGTAGAAAATATATTATGAACTGATTAGAGGTGATTATTAATTTTTAATTAGTCAAATGAAATCCACTAATGTGTTCAATTCAGCAGAAAATCTACAAATTTCTGATCTTTTCAGTTTTTAAAAGAGTAATTCCAGGATAGAATAAGTGGTGTTCTTGCTTTCATGGCTCATGTCATGAAAAAAATCAGATTAAAAAAACAGAAGCCAGCTTCTAAGGCAAAGAGTAAAAACTTCAACTTCCAAGAAGTGTTCTTCTAGATAGTTCTATGCACCTGCTGATATGTTTAAAGATGAATTAATGAAACAGTAATTTCTAACAAAAGGAGGTTTTGCTTGTTTACTTACTTATCTGTTTGTTCTCCCTGGCTGCTCTGAGGAAATTTATACATCAGATATGTCTATCTATATAGCAGAATCTAAGGAAGCTGCCACAGCTGAAATTCAGTAGTCATTGAAAAGGAACTCTTAATCATCCAAATAAAAAAAAAAATCAAGATAATAGATGCTCAAGGAGCATTTATCATCTTTTTCCATTTTTCAAATTGCCTTTCAAAAAATTTTTTTTTCCTCAGAGTAATGGTGCTATTTGGAAATGTAAAACTGGATGAACACTAGGAAAGGCAATGGTGCAAGATGGTTGGCATGTGGTTAGCAAGACTACCCATCCTTATCAGAAAGCATTGTTCTGTCTCTGTAGAGATGTTTTCTTTTGAGCAGGTATGTGGGATGTGACTACAGAAACGGGGTGTGGATGCCATTCCATCTTAAAAGATTGTAAATAAAATATTTCATTTCTTATTAGTTCCACAGTATTGTTAATAAAACTAACTCTTCTTTTAGGGGTAGATCAATTTTTATTGGCATTATGGACTAACAAGACAGAAAAAATATTACTCAAGTTTACAGTACTCTGTGTGGTCCACTGCTAGATCTCCAAACCCAGACTTAACACTATTGCCATAGTTTGCTTAGCATGTTTGAAAAAATGTAATTGCATATTAATCTGAAGTGTAGGATTGTATCCATTTTATTTAAAAAATCTTTACTATACAGAATGCATTTTTTTTTCTGTAATGGTGGGATAGATATCTGTGTGTACACACACATAGCATGCATGTGTATGAGAGCACATATGTGTTGTGTGGTCTATATGTAAATTTCTTCAAGAAATAAAAAAAAAATTAAAAATCTTGAAAAAATACAAATCTAAACTAAACAAAATATAAATCTTAGTTGTTCTAGGCCCCCTAAAATATATTTACATTATGAAACAAGGTACTAATGTTTAACTTAGCATAACTGAGCTATGACCATTCCAAAAATACTACACCATTGTTAACATCTGCATGCACTTCATAACCCTGGTTACTGAAATCTATCTCATGTTGTAATCTTGATCTCTTCTCCCTCTCACTCTTCCACTCATTAAGTGGCTTCAGAAAATCTTTTCATGAAGCAGAGGCAAGTGAATCGCTGATCTTGTGACTTTTTCAAAGTACTCGAAGGATTTACTGAAATTTATTTTGTCCTTTTTATGAATTTGTTATATATGAAATAAAAGAATACATAGCCTTCAAAATATTTGTGGGTAGCTCCCTGATTTTAGACTGCCATCATACACTCTGATTTTAAAACCTAAACTGAAAGCTAAAATACAAATGTGTATGCATATAGAATATTTGTATTGGTCTCGGTGCAGAGAGAAAATGCAAAAATTTAATCAAGACATATGAATAAAAAACCCCTGCAAACTTCACCTGCTTCTCATAGTGGCTGATAATTCTCAGCCACCAGTACAATCTGTCTTATTTTTAATCTCTTTTTCCATAACATTTTGGCAGACTTGTTGCTAATCTATTCTTATAACTTAAATATTTGAGAAAAGGGGAAGACGTTGTGAATCCTATTTCATTTTAGATTTTCACAACTCAGCACTTACTGCCTTTTAGGAAAACTCCAACATCCTATTGCTTTTTCCTGCGTTCCTCCTTCCAGTCTCATTTCCTTTCTACATCTGAAAGTCAAAGTATCTGTGTTGGCAGAGAGGAGCATAACTGAATCTTCTGTTTCCTCTGATTTTTGTGGGACAAATTAGAACCAACTGAAGGGTTCAGGTGAAGATGTCAAGATAAGATTCAGTATTTTTGTTTCACTTTATGTCTTGTGAATATTTGTTGGTTAAGTGCAGTCCCCAGCTTTGTAATGGAGAATTCTGAGGATACATTTTGGTTATCATCTCTGTTCTCTGTAGTCCCCTAGAGTGAAATCCTGGGGAACAATTGTCATAGTCAAAAACTTAACCTTCAGATCTTTCTACACTCTTTTTCTTTGAAATATCTAACTGTGAAATTAGGGTGTACACTGCTGTGTTTCTGCTCTTTATGCAATGTATCTGGGACGCTCCCTGATATGTTAATTTGGCTAGCTTATCTTTCTTTGCACACTCCTTTGCATCTCATTGTCCATCCATGTCAGCAAAGTCTTACAAACTCCTTCATGGAATAATTTGATTATGCTGTAGAATTTACAGTTTTAAAATCCTTGCAAGTCTTCATGCCTGCATAGTTGAAATTTGCCTTTTAGAATAATACACCTGTACATCAAAAGTCTTTCTCAAGCCAGGATTTTGGATATAATGTTTTTATTTTGTCCCTGTCCTGTGTGTTCTATTTATGAAGTAAGAAGGAAAAACAGAACCTTGATGATTGAAAGGAAACAAGCAGGTCAGCTTCCCAAGTGAATATAGCTCCTTTTTATTCTGGTACAATTGTTTCTTAAAATATGTCAAATAATTACAAATATATAAACTTAATAAATTTAAGTAAACTATAAAATAAAATCCTTAAAATAGTTTCTAATTTACTGTAATTTATGTATGAATTTATATTTATTATAATACTATTTTTTAAACACTAAGGTTGCAATACTAATTAATGTCTTCTTTTTGCTATATTCAAACTTTAATTCCTATAGAATTCTGCCTCAATGGACCAAAAATAACTTGTGAAGATCAGAGCAAGTCATCTGTCACTATAGGTGAATGCCAAATAATTTTCGCTGGTCAACTGGTAAGGCAACTTATTGTAGAGTTTTGCTTTATTTATAAGTACTACTGCTTTATTCTTGTTCCTGCTGCTGCCTCCATAAATGACGCAAGGTACTCAGGAACAGTTCAAGTCCCTGAGGTGCTGTTTCAGCCAGCCTTGCTCTGAGCTAGAGCTACAGGGAAGCAGATTATCCCTTTAGTCTTTAACTGCTCGTGCTGGTGGTTGCTGGGCTGTGGTTAATTTTCTTTGCAGCAGCTCTGTATGGGGTTGTGTTATGGATTTGTGCTGGAGACAGTGTTGATAATCCAGGTACATTTTAATTGCTGCTAAGCCACGTTTACACCGAGTCAGGGCCTTTTCTGCTCCTCACCCACCCCAACAGTGAGGAGGCTGGGGGTGCACAAGAAGCTGGGCAAGGATACAGCTGAGACAGCTGACCCAGTTGACCAGAGGGGTGTCCCACACCATGTGGGGCCTGCTCAGAGTGCAAAGATGGGGCACGAAGAAGGAAGGGAGGAGCATTTGAAATGATCATGTTTGTACTCCCATGTAACCCTCATGTGAGGTGGAGCCCTGCTTTCCTAGGGGTGGCTGAACATCTGAACATCTGCCTGCCCATCTGAAGTGGTGAATGAATTCCTTATTTTGATTTGATTATGTGAGTGTGGCTTTTACTTTCCCTATTAAAATGTCTTTATCTCAACCCATGAGTTTTTTCACTTTTACTTTCCAGATTCTCTCCCCGCTCCTGGGGTTACAATTCTCCACTGAGATTACTGTCTGCACTTCTTATGTGTAATGCTGCCCACTGCAAATTGAATACATAAGAAATGATTCTCTGTATCTGTCTCACAGTCCACTAAACAACCATGAAATGAAATTAGCTTTTCTTCATTACTAACTCAAACCATATTCAAACAAGAATATTACAGAAAATCATTCCTGATTATCGATTTTCTGATCCATGTACTATAGTCTAATTTGGAGTTTTTATGCAGTTTATTTAGGGGGTTTTTTTGTTTGTTTGGGGTTTTATTTTGGTTTTGTTGTTTTCTTTTGGGTTTTTTTTTTGTTTTTCTTTTAAAACAATAGTTTCTGATTCAGGCACTAGCACCTGAGAAAAACTGTAAAATTTCTTCTGTGTCTCCTTTGTTTTGTGTATGATAATAACTTTGAGTCTTTGCAAGTGCCTACTCTTTAGCCATTATTTTGTATCTCTTTGTTCTTGCATTATCTTCCATACCTTCCACAAACCATCTCCAGGTTTCCTTTTCCAGTGTATCATTTTCATTATGAGTGAGTTGAAAGCAGGAGAGCTTGTTAAGACAAAATGTTGTCTTTTTTTACCTCTTTTTCTGTCTTTTAATTTATTTAGGTATTTAATCTATATTTTCTATTTTCCAGAGAATAATTGAAATAAATTTAAATCCTGTTGTCTGGCATACTAAAGGGTGTAGCAAATGATGATGTTGCATGAAGGTCTTGTAGATTTCAAATAAACAGGCAGTGACATTTCACTCACTGGTGTTTCTTATTTGCTTTATTTCAGGTGCCAGCAAAAAGGTAAAAGAGAATGATTCTTTCATTGGCTGAATACTGCACCAAGAAGGGATTTCTGTAAATAATGTAACTTGCATAGAGAACAAGGCACTGATATCAATCTCAAATACATATAACCTTCTAACATCAACCATCATTCATGTTTGTTTTCAACCCTCTCCCACAGAGAGTGGAGAGTGAATGGGTTGTGTGGGTACTTGGCTGGTACCCTGGTGGTCATGGACTCAAACTAGAGCACAATGTGGAGCAAAAGCGGTTGCAGAAATATATGAGAAAAGCAAAGGAATTTGCCCCATTTCCTCTTTCCTCATGAATCAAAAACAAGTCATCAATGGCATTTTGTCAGATTTACAGGTTCCTGCTGACTTTTTTTGGATAAAACAATAGGATTGATAGATATCACTACTTGATGAGATCATGTACTCAGTTTTGTCCTCTGGAGAACTACTTAGTAATTTTGGTACACTGGCCAAGCAGAATATTTTGGCAGATCGAAGAAGGGGCAGCAGAACAGCCAAGCGCCAGTTCTAGATGTCATTATTATTATTATAAAGCTATTGATCCCCCAGGAGGCCACAGGGGGAGTTAAGCTGCCTTAACACCTCTTCACCACTCAGCTTCCACCTTTCCACATTGTGTTGATTAGTGAACGCCATCTCTCTAGGATTTTATGGTAATAGGCAAGTTCATAACACTATTTTGTCAAGTAAGACACTAAAAATAGTGCAATTAATGTAAACGTTTATAATTATTTTTAGTCACTACTTTTCTAATATTGGTGCCATAGAGTTTCATTTCTTTGTATTAGAACAAATGCAATTATGCTGCCAATTTTTAGATTAAATTAATAAAAGCTATAAAAATAAGTTAAGCAAACATATGGTTCTTTTCAGCTCTCTTTCATGCAAATAGCAAGCAAAAATATTTGTTTTCCCAGATATCGAATTTCTGTTGGCCAAATTGTGCCTATGGGTATAACCATGCTGAGGTTGTTTAAAGTATGTTTTTATTTTCTGTAACAATTGATGTTTTAGGGAATCTCAGGAAACTTGCCTGAAGGAGTTTTTCTTTATAGTGATAGGAAAAAAACCCTATTCATTGAAAAGATAAGCCACACCAATTTTCAGGTTCTAATGAGCATTATAAATTAATGGAACTCCTAAAGGGGAATCAGAGGTATTTTGTTTCAAAAAGTATTTGCTTGGATTTCTCATTAATTAAATATGATTTCAAGTATGAAAGTAGATAAAATTGATTCTGTACTAATCAACACATATTGCCTGCCTATGGCATTAATATTATGCTGATGTACTCAGTGAGAGTGGTCTGAAATCAATATAAAAGCCCTTAAAGCAATGTTCATAGCTTTAAGCTGTGATGTTTTCAGGCTGTTTGTTTTATAATTAACAAAGCTAACAAATTGTACAAAGAAAAAATATTAAACTAGATTCTCTGTGAAGGAAAAAAGAGTATTTTATTAAGACTGAAAGTTTTTGTTCTTCATCTCTTACAGCAAATTACATTTGTTTGTGCAAGAAGGTAATTATGGAAACCACTTATAAGTTTCTTGGGTTCATACATTTGGGGCCTACTTAATTTGGAAATGGATTTGATTTTCTTGTTAACAAAAGCATTCAGATTGAAAATTTTTAGTTTAATTGTTTACCATTTTGGTCATAATTATTTTTATTTAGACTATAAGGCTTCTACAATCAGTATCTTGCCTTCACATATTTTTGTACTATCACAATTTTATATGGATGAGAAGTTCGGAATTCACTTGTAAGATCTTACTGTGTTAGATCCATTACACAGTAATTGTAGTGTATCTTAGAAAATTCCAGCTTCCTCGTACCTGGGGAAGACTTTGTATGTTACATTTTAACCTCAACAGAGAAATAAAGTAATGTATAAAACAAATGCTAATAATTTAAGTGATGCTACTTTAAACACTGGAAATACTTGTATAATTCTAACTTTTTGAGGAGGTCATGCTCTCTCATTCATAAGTGTTTCAATTTATTGGAAAAAACTCAATAACTTCCCCCCCCCCCCAAAAAAAAAAGACCCACCATGCAGGAAATAACACTCCAGTACCAAAAAGTTCAGTAATTTATTGTAACTGACTTTTCTTGAAAAAAATTAAATTATTCCAGAACACATTATGTTTGAAATGACTAGGAAATATCTATACCCCAAAACCCCCAAAAGATTTAGAGCTGATGCAGCCTGTCATCAGGAACCCGAGCCATGCAGAATAATTGCACATCTCCTTTGTGTTTACCCTTCAAAATGTTAACAGGTTTGACTGGGACTTAAATATTTGGAGTAGAAAGTAAATTTTTATAGTACCTAGGGGACTGTGGGAAAACAAGTATTAGCAATCTTACAGTAAAACCAGCTTTAGAAGACAAGTGACATTTAGCTCATATGAGGCAGTAGATGCTTTGTCTCCTTTCTTCAGCTGTGGAAATGCCCAGGCTTTGGCTCTGTTCCTACAGGATGATTACTGCCCTTAAATCCAAGTCCTGCTCTCCTTGTTCACTGACAAGTAAATCTGGAGATATCTCATTTGTCAAGACGATTGCCACTGATTCTCATCATTGCAGGGCAGCAGAATTGGGCATTTGCAGTTCAGTGCAGGGTCCTTCAAAAGATGTACTGTGAGACCCTATATTTGCCATATATATGCTTGAAACAGCAAACTCACACCAAAGAAAGCAGCACTCATCTTTGTAATTTTTTTCCTGGTTTAATCACTGAATCTTGTAATTTTTTCTTCCTTTTGTGTGATAACTTGCCTGTTTAGATCAAAAGCAGTGTGAAATATGAACAATAAGAATACGAACACTGGGGTGAGAACATGTCAAGGCGTCCAGCTCTATGGCTCAGACCATGACTTGTTTTTACAGGCAAAGTCTCCTGGAGCTCATTTGTCAACAAGGCTGTGCACAAACTGACACCTCACAGTGGGTGCAGAGCTGTCCCTCGGCACAATGTCTCTCCCTAGCTACAGCATTACCAGTGAGCTACCCCTTTCTCTCTGCATTTTGGAGTAGTATTCAGCCTCAGAGAAGCTAAGGGGTTGAAGCATGAATTCTGTCTGGCTCATATGCTGGAGGAAAAAAAAAAAAAGTCAGGAAAAAAGACAGATGGAATGTTATCCCCAGGACCTGAAGCAAGCCAGCCAGGCATACTGCAGCTCAGATATGTTAAGGTGGTTTCTTCATTAAACTAAAGATTAGTGACTCATAAAGAACCAAATTTACTACAAAATTGCATTTTTTAATCTTGCTGAATTTGCAAAATGTTGTTTAAGTATAACAGTGATCAGAAAGCATGTAAATAAATCATACTGCTGTTGGGGATTACTTTGGTTTCTAAGTTCTCTTAAGCCTCTCAGGTAGTTAAATCATATTTTTAGCAGTTTTGTTAAACACGTCTGTATTTTCAGTTAATGTGGTTACTTTTATCCTTAAAAGTAACATCATGACTGCTAAGGGAGTTGTAGCATCAGACAGAGATCATTGTTACCTACAGCTGCCATTAACAATCTGGTTAAATATCAAGAGGCAAATTGTATCAAGTGTTTAGTCACTCAGTCAGGCTTTTGAGAAGGGACAATTTGGGATTTGGTGCTTCTGTGGAGTGTGGTGTTGGAGTAGGGTTACCATTTGTGCCAATGTCTGCAAAAGTTATTTATCATTTCTACAAATATGTTATTGTCGAGAAAACAGAAAAATAATTTGTGTTGAATTTCGTGGACATAGGTGCTTTATGAATATTGCGGACTTACTGCATGGAATCCACACACATAGGAACATTGACAGCTGCTCCTTTTCAGAAAGAGAGAACTGAGGCATCTATTGACAAAGGCCAAAACTATTAAGTGGCATCCAAACTTTCCATGCTTAGTTTGATAAAGCTAATCTTGTGTTGCCAAGCACTGGAGGCTTTTCCCTGGGGTTTTAATTTGTTTTTTTTTCCCCTGAGAAGTTAATAAATTGCAGTATGGCATGTGTTCAAAATTGGCTCTTTTTTTGCATTTGGATGCAGGCATGAATGCTCACTAATCCTACAAATGTAGTTCCAGTTATCTTGTGCTGGGCATATAGAAAAGGAGGAAGACATGACTATTGATAAAAATCTTTCTTCCAGTTGCTCAGCATCCTGCTTATGAATAAGGTTTCTTTCTAGTTATCTATAGTAATATTTCCCTAACTGCAAAATAGTCTCATTTGTTCCTGTGCTGTGAACACCTTGTTTTTCAGTCACAGAAATGACTGAAGCAGAGCTTAGATCATTTTCTAGTGCATAACATAGATTCATAGGATTCTGTTTTTATGAACTCCTATCTGGGTATTTAAATTGTAATTAAATCTTTAGAGATAGCCAAAGATTGTAATTGAAACGCATTTCCCAAAAATGGTATTGAGTCACCTCCTGGATGTAAATGATATAAAAAAGACCATTATCATCTAGAAAATTATATGATAAGCTGGAAAGAAGGACCAGAGAAAACAGGCAAACAAAGTATTAAAGAAGAGACGAAGGAAAGAACCATTATAACTTGTTCTTTAACATTTTTTTAAGAATTGACTGATGGAAAATAAGCACTGTCTGTGCCGTATGTTAGCATTTAATGTGCATCATCAATTTGTATTTAGGTAGCTTTACTCCATGGCAGAGGTTGAATGTAGTTGAAAATAAAGAAGTAAACAAATGAATATGGTAAACTAAGGGATTTGAATATTTTCATTATTTATCAAATAATTTATTTGACAAATAGTATTTTGACTCCTGCAGAATTGGTTGACTATCATAAGCAGTATTTGTTGAATAAATTAGTCAATGAAAAATGACAAAGATTCAATTAATAATGTATTTGATAAATAATATTTAGCAAGCTCAACTGTACATATAATTTTATTTTCTGAATCCTGTATTAAGCAGAAAGTACTCAAATTTTATTCCCCTCCCTCCCCCAGCTCCCAGGTCTCCTATGGCAAAGTGGGAACTGCTGGTTTTGGTTCCAGTAATACTGTTCCTCAAGTTGTACAAGGGTGAAGCTGAAAATTAGCTACTTCTAGAAAAAACATATTTGATAGAGATAATGACATTAAAGACAAGAAAGACTACATTTTTTTTAAAGCAATGACAAAGTTTTGTAGTGCTCCACATTTAAACATAATGGCAGTTTCTCCTTAAAACCAAAATCCCGTTTTATTTGCACTTCTGTCTTTCTCTTTGGTATAATAATGATTGGAGACATGCTTTACTAAAAACATTATTTCTTATCAAAGATGCCAATACAGACTAGAAACGAGGATTACACACACATTAATTCCTGATATTTAAATGTCACTTTACTTGAAATTGACATTTTTAATATCTCTAATGCAGTAGAGTTTCAGCTGCTTCAATTAAGTAAATGATGAACTTGCATTACACTGTTCTTTGTATTTATCCTTTCTTCCTATAACTTACAAAAACAACTTTTAATTATTTTAAGTTTTTTTAGGGGCAACTCTAGAAAAAATAAATCCAAAATGAAGATGATGGTGGTTATTTGAAATCATATGTCATCTTTTTTCTTTTTCTATGAGATATTTCAAAGATTTTTCAAAGATATTTCAAAATTAGCTCCAAAGGAACACTATGTAATGCTCTTATATAGGAGGTCAGCATATCTGGCTAATATTTTTCTTCTCTTACCAGTCAGATGTCCTAGTTAGTGCCTGAAGACATGAAAGATATGAATGCAGGAAGAGATGCAGATCAGAAGAAAACAAGTCTCAAGGCTGAGAAGCTGCCTGGCCCTGCAGAACTTGAAAGGAGAGAGCTGGCACAGCAGCAGTGATTCTGTCTGTATGGGGCCTTGGGCACAGCCCTTCTTTAGTGTCTGCTCCACCTCACCTCTACCTCATATTTTAATTTTTCTGAATATTGAAATACTTGCTAAAGTATTTTTACCTGACAGAGAGGCTTTTGATATTTCTGAGGAAGGATGACACAGCAGGGGTTGGAGATGAAAAGGTGTTTTTGAGGCCTTTACCTGCCTGTGTGTCTGGCTCATGCTGCAGCTCCCTGTGGACTGCTTGAGATCCTGCAGGATTTTCTATCTTGTTTTTCATTCACATCTGCTTGGAAAGCAATTGTATGTGTAGGATCATGTAACGGTACCACTGGATTTAATGTGCTTGACATGACGAAGGTTTCCAGAGGAGTAAACAGTTTGTGTCCCCTTATACTGAAGAAGTTCAGTTCAGACATTAACTGTGAAGAGTGAAGTTGTATAAAAACCAATTGACAAAAAAAGAGAGTATATATTGCTGCACTGTAGTGATGCAAACAGGATGAAATACTGTCTTTGCAGCAGTCAATGAGAGATTTATGCTTGATTTAGTAGTCAGGAGGTCATCACTCACAGAACTAAATAAGATGTTAAATAAGCTTTTGTCCTTTGGTTTCAGCAAATATTCTAAGTCATCTAAGTCAGATAAAAAAATTGATAGCATGCATTTAAACATCTGCTTGAATAGTTTAACTGTTTGTACATAATCATGTTTTAGTATTCCGGAGTAGTGAATATAGAGTGAAAAATCCCAGTAGCAACAGCTCTAATTTCTTTGTGATACATAGAAGTACATTTTATGAGTTTCCTTATGCTAGCTTAACAAAAAAAGTGATCAAACAAAACCAAGAAAAATGAGACATTCAAATGCCATACCCCAAAATCATCTATCAAAACTTTACCTTTAATCCTTAAACTAGGCTGCTTCAGGAAGCAGTTAACAGACTAAGGCACTATTAGTCTGTGTGTGTTGTTACATCTTAGCAATACTGATATGTCAAATATCCAGTCTTGAGGACAAAAAAGAGACACCACAGTTTCACTTTGCTTTGTTCTTTTTGTTGAAGCTGCAGGGTTAGGATGCCTGTTTATTTTGGTGAAGAACTTAGGGATTTAGAATAAAACCTCCTTAAATTTGGTGTCTTAATAACTGAGTGCATTCACATTCCATCTCTAATTTA